CTAAGGGGAAAAAAGCATCTTTATCTCTGATCTAGATGAATAGGTCTTGTCAGTTTCTCCTCTCTTACTACACTTAGCTTGTACTTTTGTTCTTTCACATCTGTCCATGTCTTCCCACTTTTTGTCAAACCTAGCGTAAAAATGCTCAGGTTTAATCACTTCTTAGGGTCTTAATTTCCTTACAAGTGTTCCTATGTTCCTTATACTAAATAAATTTGTATGCTTTTATCTTATTAATCTGTCTTTTGTTACAGGAACGCCAGCCAAGAATTTAGAAGTGTAGAAGGAAAAGTATCCCCTACACTTCACAGATTTGGGATAATTTAAGAGAATTAAGAGAGGTATATTCTCCCATTCTTGTCTTCCCCCATCTGTCTTGCATCTTACTTATTAAAGCAAGACAAGAATTCATCTGCCTGAATTAGGACAAAGTGGAAACATTATCTCAGGAATCAAGCACAGGCCCAGTCTTAAAAACTTGGCCACTGGGTGAAAATCAGTGTCAGTCAAGAAAAATGGTTCTCTACTGAGAATCACTGTGGAGTTAATCAAACATAGATATGCAAAGACCTCAGTCCCCCAAATTCAGATGCAGTAGGCCTAGGATCTTGGCATTATAAAAATTTTTATAGGCAATTCTGATGTGAGGTCAGGATTAAGGGACCCCTATCTAGGGACATGGATAACTTAGTATTGTTTTTCTCTGTAGTAGACTTGGAATACAATCAAGTTGTGGAACTTCAAGGAGAAGGGAGACTATTCTAATACATAAGCTATAGAAAAAATACTTGAGTACTAGGCAAACAGACATCTTAAAACATTTTTTTAAATTAATGGGCTTGTTGGTTCAGAGCAATTTTATTTTATTTTTTAAAGATATTTATTTTTTAAAGATATTATTTATTTATCTAGGCTGTACTGGGTATTCATCGCAGTGTGTGAGCTTCCCTAGTTGCGTTAGGCAGGCTTCTCCTGTTGTCTGGAGCTCAGGCTTATTTGTCTCACAGCATGTGGGATCTTAGTTCCCAGACCAGAGATCCAACCCTTGTCCTCTGCATTGGAAAACAGATTCACCCCCACTGGACCACCAGGGGAGTCCCCAGGACAAAATTTTAGATTCACAGAAAAATTGAGTAGAAAGTACAAAGAGTTCCCATATGCGTGTTCTTCCTTTTCCCTTCTCCTAACCACACAGTTCAAATTTTTCCTATTATTAACATTTTATTTTACTGTAGTGCTTATGTTACAATTGATAAATCAGTATTAATACAGTAATACTGGGACTTCCTTGATGACCCAGTGGTTAAGAATCCACCTTTCCATGCAGGGGACACAGGTTCAATCCCTGGTCCGGGAACTGAGATCCCACATACCACAGAGCAACTGAGCCTACATCTGAGCCCGTGCACTCTGGAGTCTGGGCACAGCAACTACTGAGCCCACACGTGAGAATTAGAAAGTCCGTATACCACAACCAAGTAGCCCACATGATGCAACTGAGACCGGATGCAGCCAATAAAATCATTTTTTAAAAGTACATTATTATTGACCAAAGTCCACAACTTACACTAGAATTTGTTCTTGCTGTACACATTTTTGACAAGTGCATAATATCATTGTATGGGAAGAAAGTTTTCCTTAGCACTCTTAGGTTCCTTGGCTGGGTCTGAAAATTCAATGGACAAAGATCAATAGAAGAAAAGCATACAAATGTTATTAAATGTTCACATGCACATGGGAGCATTCACAAGAAAATGAAAATCCAAATAAGTGGACACAGCAGGAAGCTTTTATACCCTTTAGACAAAGAAGCAATACCTATGTAAAGAATTGACAAGACAAAGGGGTTTGCTCTCTGGATAATATACCAGAGATCAGACATAGTATACCCCTTCACCATACTATCTCTGGATAGTAAATGGTGAAGAAATAACTAAAAAGATAGTTTTTGAGATTCATTTGCAGATTCCACTGGTGTCCTCACTGGGACAATGACAGTCTCTCTCCTGTAAAAGGAAAATTTATTTTCTGCCTTTGGACAGAAAGGGAGAAGCTTGTTTTGCACTTCATGGTTCTTAATTGCCTTCAATGCAAAATAATTTTGATGTCAAAGAGCCATATTTTGGGCTGACATGTTCTGGTTTCTTTTGGTATGAACATGAAACATCTCTCCATTTATTTATATCCTCTTTTGATTTATTTCATCAAAGTTTTATAGTTTTCCTCATATTAATCTTGTACATATCTTATTAGATTTACACCTAAGTATTTCATTTTTCTTTGGTGTTAATGGAAATGTTAGTGTCTTTATTTCAAATCCCAATTCTTCATTGCTGGTATATAAAAAAGCAATTTTTGTATATTAACCTTGTATCCTGTAGCTTCGCTATAAACAGACTAAATTTTACCCTGAAGATTATTGCAGCCATTAAAAGTATTGGGCAAGAGTGTTTCACTGTTACATTTATGCTCAAGAAATGTTAATCTGGAAGTAATGTGTAGAATGGATTGGAAGCAAAAGAGACTAAAGGCAGAGAGTCCATGTAGGAAAATTTTATGTGAGTCCTCTATGAGACAATAGGTTCTGAATAAGGATATTGCAGCCCCAATGAAAAAATAGGAAAAGGTTTAACAGGCAAATACCCTAAACGTGCCCTGCTTCATATGTATGGGTCTCTTCTTACAACTTCCTCTTTGGGATGTCCTTGCCATCTTCTTCACCTAACTTCTAATTAATCCTCAAAGCTCAGAGCAGGTGTTGTGCCTTCCAAAAATCCCTCCTTTCTACTGTCTCCTGGAGAAGGCAATGGCACCCCACCCCAGTACTCTTGCCTGGAAAATCCCAAGGACGGAGGAGCCTGGTGGGCTGCGGTCCATGGGGTCACTAGGAGTCGGACACGACTGAGTGACTTCACTTTCACTTTTCACTTTCATGCACTGGAGAAGGAAATGGCAACCCACTCCAGTGTTCTTGTCTAGAGAATCCCAGGGACGGGGGAGCCTGGTGGGCTGCTGTCTGTGGGGTCGCACAGAGTCGGACACGACTGAAGCGACTTAGCAGCAGCAGCAGCTACTGTCTCCAGACAGTTACCTTGATCACAGCTGTAAGTGCTACTTATATTTATTAATATATTATGTATTAGTCCATTTACCTATCTCTATCATGAGTCCTGGGTGTTCATTGGAAGGACTGATGCCAAGGCTGAAACTCCAATACTTTGGCCACCTCATGCGAAGAATTGACTCATTGGAAAAGACCCTGATGCTCAGAGTGATTAGGGGCAGGAGGAGAAGGGGACAACAGAGGATGAGATGGCTGGATGGCATCACCGACTCGATGGGCATGAGTTTGAGTAAACTCCGGGAGTTGGTGATGGACAGGGAGGCCTGTCGTACTGCGATTCATGGGGTCGCAAAGAGTCAGACAAGACTGAGCGACTGAACTGAACTGACTGATCATGAGCTCATGAATCAGAGTAGCCCAGTAGCTGGCCTAAAAAACATACACATAAACGAATAATTCATTCTGTGAGGCTGCCAGGGCTAACAAGCAGCCCGGACCTAAGTTTCGGTTTCCCCTGAAATGGTAAGATTCCCCACCCCTATCAGGCCGCCTGGAGCCAGCCAATCAACAGGCTCCCAAAAGGGAACAAAGGGAACATGAGGGAAAGCGGAAAAGCCCGAGAACGCCTAAGTTTGAACAAAAGCCCCCGGAAGTTTGTACCAGTAAAATTGCTTTGCAAACATGTAACCAATCAGCTTAAGCCAGCTACCAACTGCTTATGTTCACCCTATAAATTTGGGTAACAGCTGGGGCTCGGGGCTCTCTGACCCTGCACCACTGCGTTGGATGCAGCAGGAGCCCTGGCTCGAGTCAGTAATAAACTTCCCTTTTTTTTCGAGTTGCATTGTCTTGGAAGCCTTCTCTCTTCCCGCTCGGGGATTAGGACATCGGGCAAAACACATTCAAGTCTACTGTTGAAATTCATATACCAAGTATGTGACAGTTATTACATCAGATTTTCATGTATATTTTCTCCTAAGGAACTGAAATCATAAAACTTGCAAAAAAAATGAAGCTTCAAGTAAGGAAGGAAATACCATTTCATATCAGGAAGTGATCAGTTCCTCAAAACTGTGTTTTAAATCTCATTGTTTCTAAAATAAGCTTACTCTCCCTATGGCTACAGTGTAATTGATACTATTTTAAATAGCAGGTTTGAAAATCTAAGTGTTTCATCCATACTGTCCATAAGAAATTCATTTTCCAAGCTATAGGTTTCTCTTTCTTAGGGTTTGGAACCCTTCCCCACACAGGCAGACCTAGCATGCCTGGGATGAGAACAGCAGACAAAAGCTTCTGGTCCTGGGACTAACTACTGCTGCTGGAGCCACATTGTGGAGACCTGGTAAGCCCCACAGCTGGGGAGAGAGTGGGCAGTGAAGATAACTGGGAGATCCAGGTCAAATAGAAGGAGGGTAAATGTTTCAGGAAGGAAGAGACAAGATTTCTTTTTCTTTGTAAAAATATTTATTTATTTGGTTGCATTGGATCTTAGTTGCTGCATGCAGGATCTTTGATCTTCATTGTGGCATGCAGGATCTAGTTTAGTTGTGGCATGTGGGATCTAGTTTCCAGACCAACGATTGAACTTGGGCCCCCTGCTTTGGGAGCTCAGAGTCTTAGCTACTGGACCACCAGGGATCCGGGGAAGAGACAAGGTTTCTGACATGGGCAGCATCAAACACACGAGTGCAGGTCAAAGAGAAGAACAAGACCTACCAACCAGAGGAAAGGTTGTCTTACCTCAAATTCCTCCTCACTCAGCTTTAGTTTCTTCAAAACTATGAGACTCAAGTGAGAAAGAAGATGGTTTAAAAAAAAAAAGAGCTATAAAATCGTAAAAGGCAGAATACAAATCTTAATGGTTACAAGCAATAATTTCTCTCTTGTTGCTTCTACTGCTACGATCTATTTTCTCTTTTATTGCACAGAAAAGATGGGGCCACATCTTCTGGGACGTTCTTCTCTCCTCTTATTGCTGCTGGGAATGTGGTGGGCAGTGCGTCCTCTTGGTGCTGTGCCAAAAGATCTCACCAAGGCTCGCTGGTTTGAAATTCAGCACATACAGCCAAGGCTTCTCCCATGCAACAAGGCAATGAGTGGCGTCAATAACTATACGCAGCACTGTAAGCCTGAAAACACCTTTCTGCACAACTCCTTCCAGGATGTGATTGCTGTCTGTGATTTGCCCAACATCATCTGTAAGAATGGCCAGCACAACTGTCACCAGAGTCCAAAGCCTGTCAATCTGACTCAGTGCAATTTAATTGCGGGAAGGTATCCTGACTGCCGCTACCATGACGCCGCTCAATACAAGTTCTTCGTTGTCGCCTGTGACCCCCCTCAGAAGACCGACCCCCCTTACCATTTGGTTCCTGTACACTTAGATAAGATTGTTTAAAGGTCACTTTGCTTCTCGCTTAGCACAAATTCTCTTATGATCTCCTCTGATTTTCTTGTCTTTTATTGATTTTCCTGGTTTCCATAGAAGGAAAAAGGAGAGTATTGGAAAAACTAGAGTGATGAGGATACCAGATCAGAGTTGGAACAAAAAAAAGTCAGATTCTTTTCTGCTTTGGAGCTCTGTGTTTTGAAGGAAGATAAAAGGGTAAAAGTGGGTCCAGACTTCCATATTTTTAACCTTAGGAATTTGGCCAATGTTTGCTGTATTGTGTTCAGAGCAATAAAACCATTTTTGGTTGCGTTATAATGAGTGTGTGTATAAGTATGTTTGAGATCCCTTTCATGTCGTTGCCAGCCTGGAGCTATCTAGGCCTGCATTTGCCAATTTTCTAAGAACTACTTTGGCCCTAGGCAAACTTTGAGCTTATTTAGCAACCTGGGGCCTCCGCCAGGTTTCTGAGATTAAAGAGCAAGAAAATTCTCCATCCCTTCAAACTCTGCTCATAGCTTTACATATTTCCCTTGAAATAATCGTCTGTGTTTGTTGGAGGTGGCACTGATTCAGAGTGCTAATGGCATTTCATACACAGGTTCTAACACTGGTAACTGAGGCATCCTAGAACTTAACTATTTGTTTCTATATTTAACCAGATAATGTTTTAAATATCAATAGTTGAAGGGGCCTTCCCTGGTGGTACAGAGGATACGGGTTCAATCCCTGGTTCATTGGAAGAGTCACACTCTGAAGAGCAACTCACCCCATGCACAAGTGCTGAAGCCCCTGTGCCTAGAGCCTGAGCTGCTAAACCAGAGAAGCCACTGCAATGGGAAACCTGCTCACCGCAACAAGGAGTAGCCCCCACTCACTGCAGCTAGAAAAGGCCAGTGAGCGACAATAAAGACCCAGCTCAACCAAAAATAATAATAAAAAAATAGTGATAATAATCCACAGTAACCTTAGAGTCAAGTCTCCCATTCTCTATTAGAATGAACAAAGAGAAATCATCGATCACGGGCTGGGGAAGCACTGGGGAACTAAAAACTTTCTTGTTCTCACTGGGGTTTTGGAACAGATTTTTTTTTTTTTAAAATCATATACATCTTTGTTTACTGCAACAACAGGTTTAATCAGCCTAAGGGAGTTGTGACTTTCATTCAGCTGTCCCTTTGAGGGGTCAGACTCGTGGATACCCTTTAGACTCTGGCTCCTGACACATTGCTCACTCCGGTGGGTGCCCAATCTTCTGCCTCAGTTCCTGCTGTGATATCGAGTGTCATAGGATTTCTTTCCATTTGAACCTCAGCTTCCAACACTTGGTAAGAGAAAGTGCGTGTGGTTCACCCTAACAACATCTGTGCCTCGTTTTCAACTTGTGTGTCTTATTTCCTAATCACCCATCATGAAGGGCGTGGTTGTCACGGAGCAGGGGGAAGCCGTGTCTGGAGGCGTTCCTGGTAGCCACAGTTGGTGCTGCGCTGCTCCTGGCAGCTAGAAGGTAGCGAGTCGAGGGAGGCTCTAACAGCCTTCAGGATGCCCCTCGACAGGATGAGTGGCTGGCGGGAGGCAGTAGTACTGTGACGGAGAGGCCCTGGACCAGGTCCTCTGGGAGGGCCCACTGAGTCTGTCACTGGTGAGTCTGACTTGCCCACACCCTTGTTTGAGTGGAAGCTGTGTCCTGGAATAGGTATTTGATTTAGAAATTGAAGGACTGGGATTAAGAATTTAGGCCTTAGGAGTAAGGGAGAAAAAATAATTTTCCACAAACCCTTCTAGGTTCTTGGCCTAGACCCCTCTGTAATAAAAAGATTAGCAGAAAAAACAATTTTAGTTACACATGTACATATGGGAGCCCCACAAAGATATGAGCCTCAAAAGACAGGAAACCCTGAAGGGTTTTAGAGTCTGTGTCTCTAGTGGCATCCCAGGGCCAAGCCTGGTTCCAGGACCATTAATGCTGGCTTAGAGATGCCACAGTTCTCAGGGGAAAAGAGCTAAGTAAACAATTCATATATATCTCTTACCCACAGAGTATGGAAACAGAATTTGAGTATCAGGTCAGATGACATCGTACTTTTAAAATTTTATACTGACTACAGGAGGTGGAGCCAATAAAAACATTATGCCCCTCTTACTGCTTTACTTATTGACTTAGATATTTTAAAAAGTTCCATTGGGGGGAGGGGGCGGTGGAGAAGAATACAATTGAAAACCATTTCACTGATTAATTCAATACTGTTTTTAATTTGTAATGCTTTGGGGATGTTTTTGTTGTTGTTTTGAAAATGCCACACTATCTGTGCTGTGCTGTGCTTGGTCACAACCAACTCTTTGTGACCCCGTGGACTACAGCCTGCCAGGCTCCTCTGTCCATGGGGATTCTCCGGGCAAGAGTACTGAAGTGGGGGAAAAAAAAAAAGTACTGAAGTGGGTTGCCATGCCCTCCTCCAGGGGATCTTCCCAACCCAAGGATCAAACCCAGGTCTCCTGTGTTGCAGGCAGATTCTTTACTGACTGAGCCGCCAGGGAAGCCCAAGAATACTGGAGTGGGCAGCCTGTCCCTTGCACGCTATCTACACAGGGCTAATAGAAACAGAAGAGGTGATGTTTACATATGAGGCAAGTCCATAGAGGAAGCCTGTGTGGGGGTGGCAGAAGCAAGGCCCAGGAACCTCATGGGAAGGGAGAGCACATGCTCTTGAGGAGAGGAATTCTTCTGGAGCTCCTCACTCTTCTTGATAGATTTTATCATACCCTGCCCTCTCTCATGGCCTCCTTTCATTTTTAATGTGATTAATTACTTTTCAAAAATTAAACAGTGTAGATAAACACAAACTAATATATAGCACGCAAATAAATATTGCTTTTTATTTGCTTACTATTTAAAAATATATATATAAAAACATTGGAGTCCATTTTATTCCTCTCTGCATTTCCATTCCTCTTAACTCTTCTCAAATGAAATAATAAATTTAGGGTGTTTCCAGTCCTATTTTTTATATTTATACCTCATGTAGGATATATTCATAAACAAAATATAGTTTTCATGTACTATTTTAAAATAATTTACATAAATATTATCATGTAATACAAATCATTCTGCAAGTTGTTGTTTTTGTTCATTCAGCAGTTTTTTTTTTAAGATTCGTCAGTATTAAAATATATCTTATTGCTCTTTTATTATTACTGATGTTTTTCCCTGTGTATTAATAAACCATTATTTATTTTTCAATCATCTGTTGATGGATTTTTGGGATGCTCCCAAATTTCCACTCTAAGAAGCAGTGTTGCAGTGATATCTTTGTACATTTCTTTGTATGTACATTTCTTTGTATGCAAAAGTTTTTACCAAGGTATATCTAGATGAGAATTTCCAAGTCATATATATTTTTAATTTTGCCAAATATTACTGTATTTTCTTCAAACTTGTCAACTGAAAGAAAGACACCCAGCATAAGAATTGAGAATTTAAGTTGTATTCATGGTCTTACTGAGGACTAGAGCCTGGGAGACAGCCTCTCAGTTCTGAGGAACTGTTTCAAAGAGGTAGGGGAAGAATCAGTTTATACATGAGTTTTTTGGCTCGGGAATACATGCAGTCAAGCATGGTGGTAGTGGTGGTTTGGTTCCTAAGTCATGTTTGACTCTTGTGACCCTGTGGACTGTAGCCCACCAGGCTTCTCTTCCATGGGATTTTCCAGGCAAGAACACTGGAATGGGTTGCCATTTCCTTCTACAGGGAGGATTGTAGGTGGATTCTTTACCACTGAGCCACCAGGGAAACAGTCAAACATACATCTTGGTAAAAGATTACTGTTAATCACAAAGAACAGACAATCTCAAATTAATTATTTTAGTGATTTTTATGTATGACAAGGGGCAAGAATCAGGAGTCATTGACATTATTCCTGAGATAACTATCCAGGGGCCTGTTTATTCAGAGCACAGAGTATTTCATCCTGTTTTTCATCCTCAGTTCCCCAGAGGGTGCCCTGTCAGAGAGCGATTGCAGTGGGTTGCAGCCTAATCCTTGTATAACTGGGTGATGAAAGATGTTCTTTGTTCTTCTTTGTTCACAAACTGATTGGAGCAGATTGTGTTTTTCAAAGATGTTCATGTCAATATATCTCATTCTCTATGCTCCTCTTATAGCGTGATATTGACTCTTCTCTATCAGAAAGGTCTATGTTCTCTTTCCTTGAGTATGGCTTAGTCTTAGAAACTCCCTTCTAATGAACAGAATGTGGTGAGAATGACACTGTATGACTTCCAAAGCCAGGCCATAACAGGTGATACAGCTTCTGCCTGACTTTCTATGTTGTGGGACACCCACACTTGGATCCAATCATCATGCCATGAAGAAGATGGTGCCACGTGGAGGCCTTGTATAGATAATCCAGCCAGCAGGTCCAGCAAAGGTATCAGCCAACATGAGCCATCCAACATATGGGTGAATAAACCTTCAGATGATTCCAGCTCCCAACCTCTGAGTATTCCAGCTCCCAACCTCTGAGTCTTCCATCTGCAGCCTCAGACATTGCAACAGAGACAAACAGCTCCCACTATGTCCTGTCTGAACTGTTGGATCACTGGGAGCATAAGAAATGATTATTTTATGTCACCAAGTTTGGGGATAACTTGTTGCACACATATATTAACTGAACCATTGATTGTTTAATTTCACTCTCTCACCAGAAACTATGGTGTATGAGTCTTCGTAGCTCAATTATTTGTCTATGGCAAAACATAAGAGTATAATGGTCCAGCATTTTTGCCAATCTGATTGGTATGAAAGCATAGCATCGTTGTGTAGGGGAAAAAAAAAAAGCAATGTTATTTGTAATTTTAGATCCTTAACTCCTAGTATATTGCCTGACAATTCCTAGTACAATACCTGAGACTAATGGGTTTCTCTCTTTCTTTTTTTAGTTTTTTGGCCATGCCGCACATAGGATCTTAGTTCCCCAACCAGGGATCAAACCTCTCTTCCCTCCTGTGGA